CTGATCCAAACACCAGGCACCGAACAGCCATTCACTTGCTTGTAGGCATGGCGGCAAAGCTAAGTTTTAAAGGAGAGATTTGATGGAGGATAACAAGGGAGCTCTGCAGATAGTTAGGGGCCCACACGCCAAGCGGGAAGGGCAGCACAGGAGATGAGATGGTATCCAGCTGCCTATTTGAAATACTGGAGCTTAGATTAAATGCAACTAGCTCCAGTTTCCCTCTGAACATGGATATCCCAGCAGAAGAGGTCCCTCTAGATACACGGACATGATTCACTGGCAGGGCAGCGTGTAGGAAGCACATGCTGAGCCATCAGTTCTGCAGTGAGATTTCTTGCATTTGCTAGGGAGCTCTGTCCACATGAGCACGGGCACAGATGTGTGTGCGCACACACACACACACACACACACACGCGCGCGTGTCAAAAATAACACTTCTTCTGATGCACCCCATCCTGGATACTCTTGAGTTCAGAGATGCTGCATCCAGAGACCTGGTGTCTCAAAACTATTGGACTCCCCTTGACTTGCACTGTCAGGCCCGAGCCCCCATCCTGTGCCATTCCTACAGCCGTAACGCATCAGGGCGCAGGTGGGAGAATTATGACCAGTAAGGAAGACGCAGCAGGAAACTGGATAATGTACTGGGAGAGGCCCTTCTTGCCCCACTGAACATAGGTTATAAAGGGAGCTTTAAAGGAAAAGATGGATCCAGGGTATAAAAGGGAACCGGGTCAACCTACGGATACGGACTGTAAGCAGATCAAACAGAATATGGTTTCCTTAGAGAGAGCATGAACTTAGTCCCAAGCTTAACCTTCTGGTGCATCCTAATGGTCTCTCTCACCTTGAGCTAAAGATCACGGGACATTCAATAAGCCGTTCCTCTGTTCGTTGCCTGGGCAAGACAGGAACAGACAAAACAGCCCAATATTGGGCAGCTCCAGCTAAGGATTAACATGGAGAAACAAGGCTTTCCCTCTCAGCTTAGTCTAGAAACAAAAGAAAAAAAAAAAATCACCATTGCAGAATTCAGCTGATGGAAATGGTTTTGCTGCTTTCCATTAAGGATACGTACAGCTGTACATATGCTGGAGAGGTCATACGCCTTTACGTTCCTTCGAAAAAATGCAGAGGTGTGCCTCCCCAACTTTTTTTTTCTTTTCTTCTTTTTCTAAGTTCCTTAGCATCGTGGCTCTCGATGCTCTCGTCAGCCGTCTAAAAGTCTGGACCTTTTTCGGCAACACTTTCTGGCAATGCCTATCGGAAGTTTAATTATGCCCCGTGGGCAAAAGCTACGTCACGTGGTTAGTTCAGAAATACATCACCTTTCTCCTTGCTGGCTCTCATCTTCACATTAAGAAAAATAAAAAGGTAAAATGAAGCATCCCATCTGCCTTCTCCAAGTTGGTCTGCCTTTCATCACACCCACCTCGACTTAAAGGGGGTGTAAATGAAACCAATTACATTTTTTCAAGTTTATTCTCATGGAGAAAAAAAGATTCCTCAAGCCCCAGAACAATTTCCCGCCTCCTTTCCGAGCCCGGTATTTCTACTGCACTTTGTATTAAGGCGTGCAAACCTTAATGCATGCGGCAGTCTACTGACCATCACATTTATTATTCCTTTGTATTCCAGTAATGTCTCCAAAGTCCCAGCCCTATTAGGTTGCATGCTGTACAAACATCAGAGAGACAGCCCAAAGAACCTGCAGCCTAAACGAGGTAAAAACATCCTGCAAACAGAAGAGCCATGTATTTATCTAGGGTAGGACTATTCTTTCAAAAACTGCCACAGGACATAATTAAAAGGCAAGATTTAATCAGTGCTGAAAAGGCAGGTCCCTCTGCTGCTTCCTACCAAAGTAGCACAAACCGTGTCCCATGACGGGAGTGACCCGGCAGAGACGTGCAAGCAAATCCCATGCTGCGGGTCCTATGACAACAGCAAATCAACTTCAGAACAAAATCGGTCGGATCTCCTCGCCCAACCCGTCCCACCAGGGCTCGGCGCTGTCCCCATGGCCGTGGCCAAGCGCCAGCTGGCAGTGCTGCCAAGAGAGGAGGACGTCTGCAAACGGCCAAGAGAGACCAAGCACAAGGAGAAGACCGCAGAGGCAGCCGTGCTCCTTCCACCCTCTCAGCGGGAGGCCAGGCATCTTGCACGGGGCCTCGGGCAGGGGTCCCCGCGTGCGTGAGGACA